TTGCCTTCTGAATTAGATTTTTGTGCATCCATGGATCATCATTTACTCCTCCATGGGACAATGAGCTGGTGTATTGGTCACTCATGTCCCCAGTTCCAGACATGTGCTCACATTCACCTCTGCCTTTCAGTCCTTCACAGCCAACATACATGGTGATTGTTACTATCTTTGTTTTAAGAGAAAGAAGCCAGTTGAGGCACAGAGAAGTTAGGTACTGGCCCCAGGTCACACAGAGATGAAGTGGCCAAGCAGACTTTAGTCATCGTTTGCTGAATAAATACATGGAGGTCTGCAGTTGCCCACATCTGCCCAAGTTCCAGATTTGCCCCAAGTCAGCTTCTCTGCCCCAGCCCAGCCCTTGGTCATCATACCTGTCTCCTGTCCCGACCTGCTGGCTCCAGAGCCCCTCAGATACCTGAAAATTCTCAGGCCCCCTGAACAGCCTCTGCTGCTGGGTCAGGCTGCCCCTCACCCTCCCCTAGACTGTAAGGGCTGCTCCCCGCCTCGTCCCCAGATTCCCTACCTCCCAGGCATAGGGTGTGGGGGTTTCAAAGGCTGTGAGGAGAGAATGAAGACAGCAGGAAGCCAGCAAGGTGGCTGGGTCAGAGGGTCCAGGGGCTCCTGGAGGCAGGGCCCAGGCCGAGGCTTAAACCTACACAGGGTGGGCACAGGGCAGTCAGAGGGTATTGGGAGAATGCGAGTTGAGAGGGCCGTACGTCAGTGGCCCCGGACTGGGTTGCCCCCTGGAAACTCCCTGTGTCTCTCCGTCTTTGGGCATCTCTGAGGGGTTCTGTGGGTCTCTGAGGGTCTCTGGAGCTTTCTGTGCTAACAGGCTGGTCCTGCCTGGGACTCGGGTCCAGGACCTGCTCAGCATGTGTCAGGAGGGCAAGAGAAGGAGTATGAAGATGTGCCCTCCAGAAGCTTCTGGCTCCCCTCAGCCAGGTTGGTGGCTAGCGGAGCCCAGAGCTTTCCCCCTTCCGTAGGACTGGTCATGGCCAGCTGGGGCTGCAGCAGGATACCCAGACCCCAGGTCTCCCAGACCTCAGGCCCATCAAACCCCCCAACATGCCCTAGATCCCTGGATACCCCCAGATGCCAAGATTTCCAGACCCCCAAGTCCCAGGACCTCCCAAAATCCAGAACCCCTAGATTTACCAGATCCCAGGGCCCAGATCCCTCAGACCCACCTCCAGAACCCACTATCCCAGGACTCAGGCCTGCATCTCTCCCTCCCCCTTCCCCTGCAGCCCAAGTGTTTGGTGCTTCTTCATTTCCTCATTTCCTCCTATTCTAAGAGGCCTCTGTGCTGGACCTGCCGATCCTCCGAGGGCATAGGGTGTGGGGAATAGCCATCTGCACTCAGGCCCACAGCCAGCTTGCACCCCTCCATCCCTCTTGTCTTGAAAGCTTGAGTGTCTTCTGTGTTCTTCCTGTTGATTTCAGTGTTTTAATTGAATGTGTTGACTACGATATATATTCACATGAAATGATAAGATCCTAAAATAAAAAATATTAAAATATACATGGTAAGGTTTTCTCTCCCATCCACCTGCCAATAAGAGGTTACTACAAGTATTTTTTGTGTGTGTTTCATTCTAAGTTTCTTTAGGCAAATGAAATCTAAAAGATGATGATGATAATGATTTGCCCTTTTCAGTTAACATTTTCTCTTGGAGACATATGCTCTCACCCAGGCCAACTTCCATCTCAGGGGCTTTGCACAGGCTGTTCCATACATTGGATACCCTTCCCCCACCTCCTGACTCAATAAACTTCGTTATCCTTCTTAATAAGTGCTCCCTTGACCTTCTCATTAAAAAGTTACCTCCCTCCCTGCTTGATTTTCACCTTTATCTTTCTCTACATCACTCCCCACCACCTATTACCTATTTTTCTGATAGATCCTGCCTGCTGCCTGATTCCCTGACAGCTACAAGAACCCCACAGGAACAGAGATTTTGTCTGGTTTGTTCATGGCTGTATCCACAGCTCCTAGCCCAGTGCCTGGCACAAAGTAGGAGCTTAATAAACATTTGTGGAGGAAATGACTGTATCTTTCCTTATTTATTCATAGAGATCTATAATTTCATTTTCATGACTATGGCACTCCCCAGGATGGATAAACTGTTATTTTATTTTATTTATTATTATTATTTATGCCTACAGCACATGGTCTTCCTAGGTGGTCTCCCATCCAAGTACTAACCAGGCCCAAACCTGCTTAGCTTCCAAAATCAGATATTGGGCTTGTTCAGGGTAGCATGGCCATAGGCCATAGACCATGACTCGAACCCAGGACTTTATATGTGTGTAAAGTGGACATGCTAACCGCTATACTATGGAACCACGTCTGGATGAACTGTTATTGATCTAACCAATTCCTTAGGTTGTTTTCAATTTTTTTTATATAACAAACTGCTGCAATGAATCATCTCATAGCAGTATCATCTTTTTGCCTTCTCTCTTTTTTTATTGCACAAAATACACTTAACATAATTACCATTTTAGCCATTTTAAAGTGAACAATTTAGTGCATTCACAAAGTTGTACAACCATCACCTCTATCTAGTTCCAGACATTCCATCACCCCAAAAGGAAACCCCATCCCCATTAATCACTCCCCATTCCCCCTCCCCCAGCAACTGGCAACCACTAATCTGCTTTCTGTCTCTATGGATTTGCCTGTTCTTGACATTCGTATAAATGGGATCATACAACATGTGGTCTTTTGTGTTTGGCTTATCTCACTCAGTATGTTTCCCAGGTTCACCCATGGTGTATTGTGTGTCTGCGCTTCATTCCTTTTTATGGCTGAGTAATAATCCACTGTGTGGATGGACCACATTTTGTATATCCTTCATTGGTTCACATTTCTGTCATTTTGCAAACATGCAGATACTTGAGGGAGTGCCAGGGTGGAATTGCTGGGTCAGCAGGCACACATGTTCATGATTCCCATAGCCTGTGCCAGGATGACTTGCATGGGGGCTGGTGCCA